AGTGCCTCGCTAGTAGTAACAAGTGCATCGCTACTAGTAACAAGTGCCTCGCTAGTAGTAACAGGTGCCTTACTGGTAGTAACAAGAAGCTATTAGTGAAGGTAATTAACTACTAGCGTCCTTGTTACTACTAGTAAGGCACTTGTTACTAGAAGCGATGCACCTGTTCCTAGTAGCTGTTTGTTACTGCTAGTAAGGCACTTGTTACTAGAAGCAATGCACTTGTTACTACTGGCATATGTTGATCATAACACAAAGAGATTTGGCCAGACCAAAAAGTGTCATGTACTGTATATCATTTGGGGTAGAAGGTAGACTTGCTTTGTTATTCCCGCTTTGAAGTTCATGCAAGCCGAAGCCACATTCAGGTGGGTGCCCATTTCGGTGACTGTATGCTTTGGGCCGCTGCTGCGTTACCTCGCGTGGCCCGGCGACCGACGGTTTTGTGTTGGACCTGATGATCTGCCAGGGAAACGGCAAGAATCTACTGGTAGCAACCTAGTAGCGATGGCCTCCACCTAGTAGCGTCCTGGCTACTAGTAGAAAGAATCGGCTCTTGGAGAACCACAGAGAGTCAGATGTCAGAGGCGATCTCCCCACCTTTTGAACATGGCATTCTCGCTCTGAAAGGATGTAAGAGTTGGACTGTTAGACATTAACGCCGGGTCGAGTCTCAAACTATACCTCCACGGTCCTTCAAAAGCGGGTACATGGATGGATGTGAAACGAATTGACCTGCGGCAGAACGGCTTAGAGTTGAGACTGGTGAATGCTCCGGACACCTGTGCAGATATCATCCATGCGCAGATCCATTCTTTAAGCCAGTGTGTTCAATATGTTTTGTTGTTCGTCATTCGTTGGGGGGATTCCAGTTGCACCCTGTTTTTCTAAGGCTGCCACTCTTAACCTGAACCTGGTGGTTCTTAAAGAATCAGGGGGTCCAAGATCAAGGCCGAAATCAAAAGCATGCCATGGCCATGACATCTACGACGACGACAACAACAACTACTAACTACTAATAACAATAACAATATTCAGCTTCAGAAACTTCCCACCAATGCTGCCGAGACAAAGAACCTTGTACATTGTGGGAAGGGTCAATGAACTGCTTTGTCAACTAGCAGAACTTTGCACCAGATTAGCATGTAAGATCATGTAAGAAAAGAAAGCATGATTCCTCCCAGGTGCGAAGGGGCGGCCTCCTGCCTACTAGCGATGGCCTCCACCCTACTAGCGATGGCCTCCAACCTCCTAGCGACAGACCATGTTGTAAAAGGTTTGGCCTCGTTGGTCCTGGGGCCAAGACTCCACAGTAGTAGTAACAAGAAGCTACTAGTAACAAGTGCATCGCTTCTAGTAACAAGTGCCTTACTAGTAGTAACAAGAAGCTATTAGAAACAATATACAAATTAGTAGTAAAGGAGGCTCCTAGTAGCGATGCACTTGTTCCTAGTAGCTTCTTGGGGCCAAGACTCCATAGTGTGAGTTATTTCGAGGTCCGCGCCTTGGGCATTGAGGGGGAGCTGGTCCGGTGGCAGCGCTTCCGCCGCTCGATCGTGGCCAACCACTTTGAGGCGCCCAGGGCACGACCGCAAAAGCATGAGCTTAATGTTATCAGTAGCTTCTTGTTCCTAGTAGTAAGGCCAGGAGCTACAGGTAGCGTCCTTGCTCCTAGTAGCGATGCCCTTTGCTCCTAATGGCATCCTTGTTCCTAATAATGCAAAGAAAAACATCTTTGTATGCAGTTTTGTATGTCTAGTCACGAGCAGTACTTCAATCCACTATGTAAGACAAAACTTGTCAGATTTATTTGAACAATTTCAGTATGTATTTCAGTCTGTCTCAAAATGCTTAGGTCCACCAGCTATATACAGTGAGTTTGGTTCAACTTCTCTGGCACCAGTGGTGTGTGGAGATCTTCAAATCTGAAAGCCAAATTTTAAGTTGAATAGAGAAAATGTTACCTCAAGACACATCACAAACCCTTAGAAATTGGGCTGCACAAAGCATCACGTGGCAGCATTGAAGCCCTTTGGTGCTCAGGATAGCATCGAAGCCTTGCATGGCCTGGTGGGGAGCGAGATGTATCAAGATCACACTGAGTCTTGGATCAATATCTCGCAGAAAGTCACAGAAAGCGAACTGACTGCTTCATTAAGCAAGGCACAAACTTGTACACTGCTACAAGTAGCTAGACGCAGGGTAGCTCGTGCTCATCATTTGGTTCCTAGATGTTGAGGGAACTTCACCTTTAGACCTATTTTGGCCACGATCATTTGCCGTGAATCGGGCAAAAACAAACAATCCTTCTTGTACCAAATGGGTTTCAACAGGTTCAAGCTGGTTCTTGGTTGGGTTTGCCACTGGCCATGCAAGGTAGAGTGGGAAAAGGCTCTCAACAGCATATGCAGGCGGTGTAGATGGTCTAAGACTGCGAGTCGACTCCGAGTCGACAAGAATTGCGGCATTTTTGAGAGGAGCTAAGCAGATGCCGAACAGTCTATAGCCCAATAGAGTTGGAACTTGCCCTCCTGCTCCCTGTCCAAATAGGAACCTGACACAATGACCGATGTTAAGACCATGTCGCGCGCTAAACGCCTCAGCAAATCCAAGGAGTTCGATGGAAATCAGCTGCTCTCCTTTGTCCCAGGCACGGTGGCTGGATAAACGAGCAATGGCAACAAGTATCGGACACTGAGCATAGGATTTCTTTCTTTGAGGCTTGAGGTTCTTTATAACCAAAGTCACAGTTATTCTACAACCAAGAGATTCTATACAACAGAGACGGAAACACTCATCCGCAGCTGGTCCTTGCCCTTCCATGGCCTTATCATTTTGACACATCAAATGGTCAAGCATGTCGAGTTCTTTTCAGATTTGGGATCGCTGTCGGCAAAAACCTCCAGCAATCCAGCAGTTATACATGACAGATTTCCCTAGGGATTTTTGGAAAGTGTGTTTTTTGTGACAATCATTGGAGACATCGCTTGAGATATCTCTACTTGGGAAGCTCGGTACTCCTACCAAGGATGTTTTGCACTAGAGTGCTGTTGCCCAGAAAGAAAAGCTAGCTGCACTTGGTTCCCTTGTGTTTTGTTGATCGCACGCGTTCTAATAGATCACACAGTTTCCATTCCGCTTGCAAGTTGGATCACAACGTTGAGGTCTTGCGCTTGATCGAATTTGGAGCTTCTTGGCGACAGGAAAATCCATAGCTAACTGTTTGTGTGTCTTATTTCGGTGAAACTACGCAAAGCTCCTGCTTTGCGTTTCCTCCTATTCTTTCGACTGTTATGCGTTTCCTCGACGTGCCACTGAGGTGGTCCCATTGATGTGCTGAAGATCCACATCAATGGAGGGGAGCACTTGGTCCTCAAGGGGGCACAGAGGCAGGCTCTGCATCTCGTAACTAACGCGGCTTCTTCGTAGTCTGGAGGGGAAGACTGTGGATCTGTCACAGGATGAGTGCATTCGTTGTGCATCCGTTGTTTCGGTAGAGTTGTTTTGATTGAATTGGCAATGTCGGCGAAGCGTCCTTGCTCCTAAGGCCAGGAGCCCCTAGTAGCGTTCTTGCTCCTAGTAGCGATGCCAGGAGCCCCTAGTAGCGATGCCCTTGCTCCTAGAGTTGTTTGATTGAATTCAATAAGTTCTTTTTCCAGCGGCGTAGGGCGCGGTGAGGGGAAGACTTGGTCTGGTGGAGCACCTGGACCATTTTGTTCCGTTGTTCAGCTGGTGTTGAGTGGTGCCAGAAGTGCGCCAGGCTCTTCCAGCAAGGCATTAAAGCGGTAGTGCCTGCCCTAGACAGGTGGAATTCAGCGACTGTTTTGAGATTGAATTGAGCTTTGGAGGCCGATTGTGTCTTGCATAGGCAGGTCCCTTCCTCCAAGAGCCAGTCCTCAAGTTGTGGTCTGGGTCGTTGGCCACGAGACTCTGAGCAACCTTGACTAAGTTCAAGCAAACGGAGAGCGTTGTGAGCGTTCCGACGATTGAGACAAACCCGCAGACTCCAGCAAGACGGCTCCTCATCAAGCTGAAATGCCAAGGTCGTGAGCTGCAAGAACCACACGGAGATGTTGCTCGGAGTTTGAAGAGGAAGCACTCCTTAGACTAGTTTGCACCATGCAAGACAAACCACAAGCTTGCTTTCATCCAACAAATTGAACCCTGAGAAGATGGTTTGGAGTTGACTTGTTGAATTCTCGTCCGTGTTCTTGTTGAATTCAACTTTGTTTTCTTTGCTTCCTGAGTTCTCACATCGTTCTTTTCAGGTTCCGTGTGGTGCACTTCTTGGCCCGGTACGATTATGCCACTTGAAGTGATGGGGTCAAGCCAGAGCTAGAGTCCGAAGGTCCATTTCAGGTCGTTCTTTTTTCGAGATTCAATCTCATAGCAATGGCCTCCAACCTAGAAGCGATGGCCTCCAACCTAATAGCTATAATTAATCGAGATTCAATCTCAGATCTAAACAATCCTCGGCTTAGCGTTCTCCGATGTTTTCTCAGTCTCCCATGCATCTTTCTTGTTGGACTTTACTACTCAACTATCTACCTTTGCTTCTTCGCTTGCAAGCTAGTTGTAGCTTTGAGCTGTTCCAACTACCCACCCCGAACTGAGCGGATTCAACAGGGCACTTGTTACTACTAGTAACAAGTGCCTCGCTAGTAGTAACAAGTGCCTTACTGGTAGTAACAAGAAGCTATTAGTGAAATTAACTAATAGCTTCTTGTTACTCCTAGTAAGGCACTTGTTACTACTAGCGAGGCACTTGTTTGTTTTGCGATTTCCCCCTAGGCGATGGAGATCAGCGGGCAATGGGTGAATACAAAGCTGCATGGTTATCATCTCCTTCACGAGATTGGACGCATCATCCAGGCAGGTCACACGGTTGCCAGGACCAAACGGGTCCTTTCCCTAAAGATCTAGGAACCAAATGAATAGTGCTCACGCTTCTTCAAGGAAGCTCCCCCCGCCCTCAGTGGAGGGGAGCTTGCTTGAAGAAGCTTGAGATATCCTGCGTCCAGTAGCTAGGAGCTTACTCCCGTAATTCAGTAGCTATAGTAGCTAGTAGCCTCCTTGCTCGCCCTTGGTTACTAGTAGCTTCTTGTTACTAAGTAGTAAGGCCAGGAGCTACTAATAGCTTCTTGCTCCTAGTAGCCATGCCAGCAGGGGTTTCGATTCGACCTTCGCAACATTCATGACTTCGTTACCCAGCCTTTGCCTCAGCTCCGGATTCCATTCCTGGTTTGCCAACCACAAAAGCCGAACTCTTGCTTGGCGTTTATACAGTGTTTGCTCGATGTTTCGACTAGCATTTGTGCAGGAGACTGGCCGCAAGCATTTGCGAGCGACAAAGCCATCAATGTCAAACCAAAAAAGCTTGAGCGAACGTTCAATTGTTACATTGATTGGAAAAATAATTGAAGCTTCCTTTTTCGAATCCATCCAGTCACTCTTGGAATGTGTGATATCCAGGTGTCTAAATCTGACTAACATCATGACTCTCCCAAGGCCATTGCAAGGAACACCACATTTCATGCTGATCCAGGCCACAGGCCTCAATGTTTCCTAGGAAAGCAACTTAGTAGGTTGGAGGCCATCGTTATTAGTAACAAGAAGCTACTAGGGTGCTCCTGGCATCGCTACTAGGGGCTCCTGGCCTTACTACTAGTAGGAGCAAGAAGCTCTTAGGTTGGAGGCCATCGTTAGGTTGAAGCAACTGATGTCAAGTCTTCTGGAGCCCTTTTGGTGGCTCGACGACCCACCGCCATCCGCGTGGGGTTGTATGGCTCGATCCCGCCGCTCGACGAGTCCATGACACATTTGAGTTTCTACGTTTTACTACTAGCGTGGCACTTGTTACTAATAGCTTCTTGTTACTACTA